AGCTGCTCAGATTATTGCCTTATATGTTATCAAGATACAGCAGTATATTGTGTTAGCATGCTGTCAAGTTAAATAGAAAATATTCTGGTATTTCTCTTTAACAAACTCTTTCCATGTACATACTTCACTTAGGGAAAGGGGTTAATTGGTTTATGTTCACTGAAATATTTTACAGAAAACAATTCAACTTTATTGCAAAATGAAAACATCTTTTTGGGGAACTTCATGCTAGTGCTATAAGGATTGTCATTATGTTGAGCATTCAGTGGTAAATGTGTCTCACTGGAAGTGAGAAAGAAAGTCTATAAAGTCAATATACTGTCATGCCAAATATCTTCCCAAAGCAAGATGGGCTGCCAATTCCTCCTAAAGAAATCTCAAAGGGAATTAAATTATATTCTTTACTACCTAAAAGTCCCTAAACACAGGTTAGAGCAGGTTTTACAAGATGCAGTGCTTGCAATTCTATGCAAGTACATCTAAAAGAGCACCTTGCAATGCTTGCAACTGCCTCACTCTCATCTAAACCACCTAGTGAGCAGTGACAAGTGACCAAGGTGAAAGAGTTCACAACAATAAACTATTAAGTAGCCTTATACAACACCCATTAAAATCAACAGAATTCTTTCCAGGGACTTCAGTAAGAACTGAATTGCATCTTTTAGGAATAATGATAAGAAATAAGGAAACAGGATCTTGTAAGATATAAAGAGGACTGGGGGTGCTGGGGTCTTGTTCTCCTCCCTCCTCCACCCCTCTTCCGCCCCCCCCCCCCCCCAACAGGGCATTTTAGCTTCTGTTTACAATGGCAATTATAGTGGAGAGCATAAAGGAAAACATAAATTTCAAACATGCAAAAGGATAATTTAATTCCTCATCAAGACTAAAGAAATTAAAGGAAATTTTTGGAAGTATGAAAGCAGACGTTATGTTAGAACTTATTCTAGTCATTTAAACATTAGGCTATTTTGTTTATTTGTAAGGGAGCAGGTGAAGCTCCATGACTGCTACTCAGTGATGGAACCACAGACTTCAAGCTCAGGAGGCCAAAATCATTTTGTTATTCACTTTGTTGCTTCAAAGCAAAGTAAGCTATTGTGTATTATTCCTTTGGTGTGAAGTAATTTTTTTATATTTTTTTTTGCTGTTACAAGACCATGAGCCAAAGCTGGTAGGAATCCTTTTTAAATTGAACAAGTCACACCAACCTGAACACTCACTGAAGATGTCTATAATCACTAAATACCTTATCAGACCTTCCTTTGTCTTTTTTTCTCCCACTATTTTTCCCAACCAACAACCACTAAGTTTCCCTGTGAAACAAAAATAAAATAATAATTAATTTTTTAAAATTGAATATATATTTGTTTTGAGAAAACACATAAAAAATCTCTCCACATAAAACAGAGTATCATTGACCATTAATCTAAATACTAAGGTGAATATCCAGGAGCCATTTTCCCTTTTCATCATCACTGCCACATCTCCAAGTATATTAGTCGTGTAGTCTCACATTTTTGGACTATTTGCAGTATAAGAAGAAATATTTGCCTAACTCTACCTAGTGGCTTCATCTCAAGAGGACAGAAATGTTGGGTATAAATCGCCTCTGTCCATGGCTGGTGGAAGCCAAAGGAAAAGCCCATTTTACTGTCTCCACTGTTCAACCAATAGTACTTCTATTTGGTGTATTGCTCAGGAAACCTCCCATTGCCTCTCTTCTTCCTAGGAGATTTTGAAGACTGTGACAGTCCATAGTCACCCTGGGGTCAGGACAAGAATTTCTCAAAGGGCTGAACAAGAGAGCTATAGAGTGAACATGAAGCACAGGAGGCCTTTACCCCTTCGCTGTTTCTTGCTTTGAGAGGAATGAGCTTGTCTATATAGCTAGTATGCTTACTCCTGATTGCAATGAGATCATTAACAGCCTGGTGGCAAATTCAACTTACATATTTTGGAATTATGTCAGTTGTACTGCTTAAGTGATGCTAAAAATAGACAGAAGTTATTATTCATATTAAAGGTGAGCAGACATTGATCACAAGAAAATTTTATCAGCTTAGGAACAGTTAACTGCTGAATGACTGTTTTCAGACATCCGCCTATATGAGTCTAAGTTTTCTAAGAAAGCATGCAGTTAAATGCACATCTGTCCTCTCTTGCATTAATGTTCTTCATACAGTGACTATTGGTTGTTTTAAAGCATGCATTATATGAGCAGTTCTACTTTTACAACAAGAGATTAGAAATCTGATCTTTTTTTGAGTCAATTTTTGCAAGAGAAGCATTTTACACTCTGAAGAGTTCTATCTAAATCACTAGAAATATCACAAGCTTCTGTACAACACAAAGATGTTAGAGTGTAATGTAAAATAATTACAATTTGGATAAGGATCAGTGAAGCCAAAATAAGTCAAGTTACTTAGAGGCAATCTTTAGATTGTCTTCAGTACAATGCTTTTATATAATATATTTCAAATTTTACAATGTTTGTAGATAGCTTGTAGATGAAATTGTTCAATATTTTTCAGTAAAACATTTTTCATTTGTATATACGTACCTGCAGAGTAAATGATTTGGTGATCCCAATTAATTGCTAAACGAAATTAACGCTGTTCAGGCAACTGCAGTTCTACATTTCTTATGTCTCAGTTGCATTCTGAATTTCTTGTAAAGCACTTCTTTTGAAAATACAATACACACACTGCGAGTTCTTCCCTTCTGAGATATCCGTATTCCAATGTAGGCACACGTGATACACAGGAAAAAATTTAGAACTGCATATCACTAGTAAGGGAATCAATGATGAAAGCCTTTCTGAAAGCAAATACATTTCAAGCAGCATTGAAAGGACCCATTTTTGACCTAAGTGGTTAGCCCAAGGGCTATTTCAGGTAGGAGGTGAAGCTGATAATAGTGTCAGATACTTCTTCAGTGTCATCCTGTTTATTTACAAAGAATGCACAAGGTCTGGTTTCCCTGAATGCAGCAGAAATCAAACAGCAGGAGATACAGTTTCTTTGCCCATGGGGTCAAGACTCTTTCTAGCTAGCACTTAGCCCAAAAGATCTTTCTCTAAGCTTTTCACAAAACTACATTCATGATGTTTGTTCTCACTGTGTCCTCAAATGCTTTTCTCTCAACTTCTCTACCTTTTCTCTTGTTACTCTCAGAGACAGATCCATTCACTTTTACCAAGCAGTGTCACCACAGCGTGCCCATCTAAGAAAAACCCTCTGAAATCATAGGACTTCCCAGTGCAAAGATGACATCTGGGCATCTCTATTTCATTTATCCAGTTCTATGTATTCTTTACCTTACACACACACATATTTATTAGTCATGACTATCAGATTGACTAGATTTCACACAACTCATAAGCACACAAATCTCTACACATGAAAAGATGGTTTGTTTCAATCATGCAACATACTTGGAAGTATAAAAAATAAAAAATTATTTTTTAAAAAAGACCGGATTTTATTGCTCTTAGGCAAGTTTGCTGGCATTTAATTACATAGTCTTATTGGGTAAATCCTAAAAGGCTCAACATACAGCTGGCAGGCTTGGAGCAGAGAAAGACGTATTTTTAAATCTTTCCAATATTAAGCTTTTTGAAGGAATGATTTCTGACATAATGTAGACAGACAGACAGTACTGCCTAAAACTGCAGAGAGGCCTCCCAGTGCCTTAGAACTAACTCTGCAGCTCCCATGCTGTTACCATGCTCTCAGTAGATTTTCTTTCCCAAATCCCTGTACCTGGTTAAGGCAGCCAGCGCTTTCAGGTACAGTGAGTATAGCTGCTTTTCTTGAACAAAGCTTTCCACTTCCAAAACTGCCACTAAAGTAAACAATATATTTTCAGCAACCATTTACATATAAAATGTAAACTGTATTGATTCTATCTTGACTAATTTGTCTGAAACATATTGCTGTAGGTCCACAGACACTAGAAGAGAATTCAATTAATTGCTTCACCTCTTTCATGTATAAAAGCATAATAGAAAGTAAGTGTATAGGTGTTAATAAAAATGCCTTTTCTGTTTCTGTATGTGTCTGACTTCTTGACTGTTGCACAGCATAGCTGCAATGGACCAGCCAGAGATACAATGTGGAGGACAACTACACAGCATGTGATTTTTATGCTGTCATCCCCAGCTGTCTATTTGCAGTTTTCATTTGCACTGATGCTCACTGCTAAACCAGACACTTATGCTTGAAACAGCATTTTTATGGGCTTTATCTATAGCACCCTCTGAACCAGAAATCATGTGGAGTTTTTATGCAAAGGGTAATTCTTAGCCTATAGCTAGGAACGATCATACTAAAATGCACACTCCTAAATATTAGTTTGTCAATGGTAAGTGACAAAAACATTAAATGAACTGTTTTGTATTAGTTTGGCCATAATGATTAATTTCTTGCTTGACAAAATATTGTGGTTATAGGGCCAAATGTAGAAGATATTGATTTTTTTATTATTTTTTTTAGCTTTTCTTCAGGCCACATGAGTTATATTCACCAGGTTTACTTACCACCATGAGGCTTTCTCTACAAAGCAGTATTGATGATCTCACACCCGGTGAACGACAGCGAGGACCATTAGACAACCAAGCAAAGTTAATTGTCTTTTAGTATGAGCAAAGACTTCAGCATTTACTCTGTAATCTAAAGTCCATTAAAATAGAGCAAATCAAAACACAAATACTATTTTCCTTCCATTTTACCTGTGTGGAATGCTAAAATTATTATGCTCAAATTAATACCACCTTAGCTTCTCTTGCAGAGGTGGTTCTGGGTACAAGCAGCTTAGTAGGAAAGCCAGTTTAAGGACATTTTGTCCCTTTTCTCAGTCACAACCACTCTTTTCCTCCCTTGCCCCATGGTGCACCAGGTACTCCTGGAATGTTGTTTCCCAATTTTATTTTTGCCAGAATAACTATTCTGGAGATGTACAGTAAACTGAATCAGTATCTGACCTGGCATGAAATAACCCACCTTTCTGCTGTTCTAACCAGAAGACTAGCCCTAATGCTGCCAGGTAGATGATTTTGGAGCAATGTAGGGGTAGGTACCAAAGACTCTTTAAGACTCCTCTTAAAACACCTGTACCAAGGCTTAATTGTCTCCTCTTTAGAGCAGCCTTCAGAAATTAAAGGAAATCATTCTGCTGACAGCCAGGAACCTGGTCTGCAAATAGGTATGGCTTCAGTAAATTGGTAAATACATATCTTTTCTTTCTGATAAAAACACTTTCATCAGAGTAAAGATTTAATCATTTGCATTTCTTACGTTGCTCTGTAGACTGTTACTCTCTATCCATAAATATAGGTTGTGTCTTTGTACTTTTGTTTTGCTTTTTCTGTTTTCCTAAAGGAAAGGGATATTGCAAATGCAATATATGTGATATATCACATTTAACTCTGTCTAGTTATCTGCCTATTCTTCCCCTATCCTTCATAATATTTGAACCCTTCTCTCTGTATTCAGCTACGTATTAAAGAGAAGTATCAATGATAATTATGTTCCTTCAAGTATTGTGAAAATCAGAAGTTAGAGATAAGAGTAGGGTTTAAACTGCTGTCCTGCTGAGAGAAAGGCAAACAGATTTCTGCCAGTATACACTCCATTTGGCTGCCGCTTTCCAGCCAGTCAGCAAGTGCAGCCTGGCTGGCTGATCAGTGCGCAGATAGTTCCAGACTAGGCACAGCATTGCTGTCTCTTGCTTGTAAGGGATATCATAGATGACATGAAAGAGAACTCAGCTGGAAAAGGTTAGAGACAGATGACACAAATTATAAGAGAAAACACTTCATGAGTTCAGCTGTTTGTGGAGCAGCCAATAATCTTGGACCATATGAATTACTTCATGCAAGTATGTTTCATAAAATAATCTATTTTCTGGATATTAATTATTGGGCGAGGTGAAGTTCACATGGTAGAAGAGAAATGTTAACATTATGAAGACTGAAACTTTTCAGCCATAGCAAAGTTACATTGTAGAATATGATTAAGTTGGACATTTTGTCCTGTTTCTCCTGCTTTTTTGCCTTTTTTCCTGACTTGGAAAGTTCTACTCTTTGCTCAGCTGCTGCTGCATTTTTATTCTCTCAGACATTTTGTAGGTCACAAGGGTATCATTCTGACTGAGATGTGGTCAGAGAGAATAAGAAAAAAATCGATTTTGGAAAACCTCTGTTAGCACTCTTTCATGAACATTTTTGTTATATCCATTGTGAGCTTTTAAAAGACTGAACCTGTGAATTTGCTATTGCCATGTCTTTGTATGATTTTTGTAGGCTTATAAGCTGAAAAAGAGCAGCACAGCTCAGAAAACACCCCGGTCTTCATGTGCACCGGGACAGATTCCCTTTTGTATTAGATTGTAGTTTAATATTCTGTGCACAGGCATGCAGAACTTCTTGCTGGGCACTGAATTATGCGGAGAACTGTAGATCTGCAAACAGGAAGCTAAGCTTAGAAAGGATAATATATTAAAAGTGCCAGTGAAAAGCTGCTCTGCTTTCTATGTTCTTTAACTCCCCCTAAAAGTCCTCTGACTCTTTCTAGATCTACAGGAAGATATGTGGTACAAATGCACTGAAAGGTAAAGTTTTTTCAAAGACATGAAAACTACTGGTCCTATCTATCTGCCAAGCTTTTATATGGTTCCCTTCACCATAACACCTTGGAATTTCCACTGATTAGGTATGAAAAATCAATGCAAGAGATGAATTAAGTACATCTGAGTGTTTGTGCAAGACCAAAAAGCCTTTCAATTCACAATCTCTGCACTGTTTTTAAGTTTCATTCCACAGCAGCAGAGTGGAGGAAAAAAGTAAGGACTTGTGATTAGATAAACCCCTTTTAATTTTTCCATCCTCTCTTAGCCAGATGGAAACACATGGACAATTGGTTTACAGAGATCTTTATCCTCTCTCCTTCATTAGCACCACAGGGAAGTTTCTATAGTGGGTAATGCACTTACTGACATGGTTTCAACAATTTAATCACCCAGAAGCCTCTCTGTAAGGTCAATGTTCTCTACATTTGTTCCAACTCATTTACTGAGTAGAAAGGTGAACTTTTTCATTCCAGGTATGTCATTATGGAAATCATGTTAATGAATCAAGACACTGGAGGGCATATGTATCTCTGTTAGTGCAAGATTAATGGAGACTTTATCAAGGAGGATTCAGTCTTAGAGTCTTCTGGTAAATCCATGTCTGAAGTTTAACTGTACATTAGTAATCAGGACTTTGAACTGGCTTATCAGCTTCAATCTCAGGGCAACTCAAAACATTTTACAAACATCAATACTGTACACACAAGGAACAGTTACTTCTATTACTGAAACACAACCTGAGGGCACAAAGAAGCTGTCGCACATAGTACCACATAGTAAACTGGGATGGAGGTCAGGACACACACATTAAGAATCCTATTCCTGCCAGAAAGATCTTTTGGTTAACAGCTGTTTAAAATATATATTTTTATGTGTGTGTCTGTGTATGTACATATATGCATATATATACATATATGTACATACACAGACAAAAATAATAAATAAAATATAAGACAATTACATTTATATATGTATGTGTGTATGTAATATATTTGTTTTGAAGTTCCCTGGCATAGAATCTCTTTATTGTTTTATGACTGCAGAGTCAATCAAACAATAAAGTCAGCATGTTGTCAAAATGCAAATGTTCACATGGTATTCTCTAAAAATATGCTGTAGAAATTATTCTGATTCCAGAAAAAGTAATGAAAATTATTTCATGATTTAATCAGCTTTTCTCGTCATGAAAGCTTCCAGACACCAAACAGAATCATAAGAAAATGGACTGAAAAGTGTAATAAATTGTAATCTGGAATTAGTGGGAAGTGACAGTTCTAGTTCTTTCCATGCTAAGTATCATTACTTCTTGTTCTTTCATGATTCAAAAGTCTAAAGGAGAGAAAAGAAAGCACAGGTGCACTGAATATAGAAATTCTTTATGGCTGAAAAAGATGGATAATTTCCTTACTTCTAAGATAGCTTCAGGTCATAATGTGATTTTAGGCTCTACTTCCATCTCTGTTTTAGAGAACAATTTGAATACATTTGCAATTAACAGGAAGCTATATTCTAAAAAGACATGGTTCGTCTAATACAACCTAATCTTACTTTTTATTAATAGAATTCAACATAGTGCTATTTGGAATTAACCTTGGTTCTTCCCTTTCCTTTACCACTGTATTAACAAAAATTGGTAAAATCAGACTGACACCCGTTAAGAGTTCAAGAGCTTAGGAAAAAATACACTCTGCTGACCTTTTCATTTTAAATCTTTTCACAACAAAAGAAATATAATCAGTTTTAAAAGCTTTCCATATCCAGAAATTCTGCTCCTTTCAGTGTTTTTTCCTTTTTTTTTTTTCCTTTGAAAGCTTTGGAGACAAAAAAGATTTAAAGTTTGATATTTGCTGTAGTCTCAAATAATGAAAATAATCAGGGAGATCAATATAAAAATGTAGGTGATGTCCAAAGACCACCTGCATGTCACATTCTGCTTAGATGTATTTGTGTATGACTGTAACTGTCTTTGGACAAAAGAAAGAGAAAACATTTTGATCTTTTCTGTAGTACAGCATTAGATCATATGTAGTGGATCTAATGAAAGAAATAGGAGGCCTCTCCTAATAATTACTGCTGTATCAATTTTGTTTCTAAATGTTTAAAAATACAACTATTATAATAAAAGTTTACCAGAAAGTGACTCAAATTCTCTAATCCCGACAGAAACCTGAATCTATGATAGCTGTGCATGAAAAAATAGAAAACAAAGGCAAGGTATGCACCTGTTCTGCCATATAAATGTACCTCTGTTCTCTGGGGTTGGTGACAGCTGCTGCTAATATACGTATTCTAGCCAGGGCTATCCTAAAACACAAATGCCAGGAGGACCATTTACCATTTTAGGATGTTCAGTATTTCCCAAAGAACTGTCTGCCCTTGTTCCTCTTTCAGGAATTCCAACTGTTTCTCCCCATAGTAATAATGTACTGAATGGTGAAGGATATATATATTTTTATCAGATTGCCAGAACTCAGGATGTAACATAAGTACAGGTTCCTCTGCATCTTAGCAATCACAGATCCTTTGTTCCTCTGCTAAATTATGTGAATCATGCACATACAGAAGCAGAATGATCTATTTTTGCCTGGAGGACTCAAGTAATCTAGTTAGTTGCACATAGAGTGGTACAATGAAAAGAAGGAATCCTAGGGTGAATGTCAATGAAAGGTTAAATCTGACAAGTCTGGCATGCTTTGCACAAGGTAAGTGAAATAGTTTCCTTGAAGTACAGCAAGCTCGTGTTCAATGGCTTTGTCTTCATCTATCTACTGCTGTGAAGAAACAGCTGCCAGGGACCACTCACATCTGTGTGTGATCACAAAATCACGGAATGGCTGAGGTTGGAATGGACCCTCTGGAGTTCGGCTGGTCCAAACCCCTACTTAAGCAGGACCACCCACAGCAGACTGCCCAGGACTGACACTGACAGTGTCAAGTGCAGCCCCTGATATCAATAGCCTTCTTTTCTGCAAGGGTACGCTGCTGGCTCATGCACTGTAGGTTCCAAATTTGACACAGCAACAAGCTTTCTTTAAAAACAATGGAGGGAAAATACATATTCTTCACTTTTTTTTTTTTTTTTTTTTTCCAGTCTTAATCTTTACAGTGGTCAGGTGGCCTGTAAGAAATTCTTAGAGATGGCACAGTTGGAACCAGAAACGCTATGTTACATCATATAGTTTGATATATGGAAGTCTAAACCAATACAAACCAAAGCCTCATTGCTACTAAAATTCCTTCCACAGTAATGCCTCAGGTGCTGGGAACTATGTTAATAGACTTTGTCCTTCATAAATCGGATGAAGTCAGTCCCCACTGAGCTGGGGAAGCATTGCAGGTACAGTTTTCTCACTCACCGCTGCAAATTCCCTAGAACCATCTCTGTGGGTCTAAAGGACACCTTGGTCCAAGTACATCTTTGTTAAGAGAA